GAAAGGACAGAAGAAAGAGAGAGAGAGAGAGAGAGAGAGAGAGAGAGAGAGAGAGAGAGAGAGAGAAAGGAGGGAGGGAGGGAGGAAGGAGGAAGGAAGAGGGAAGGAGTGAGAGAGGAGTAAAAGAAATGGATTGTAAAGGGAAAAGGAAGGGATTGGGAGGAAATTATGATGTTCTTTTTATCAGAAGAAAACTTTGGTCAAATTCGCTTTGGTCATTTAGAACTTAGAAACGATTATTTAAATAGATAAGCTAGACTGGTCAGTGATGATGACTCTGCGACTGTCTGTTTGCTTGATTTAAACTCTGTCCTATAAGACACACTAAAGCAATCAAATGATTTGTTAATGGAGAAAAACATTTAAGTCCATTTTCTACATGTAAAACATTGCATTTATTAGAGTAGCTTTAAAGGACTCTAGCATCTGTATTAATGACCCGTTAATGTACTTCTCAGGATACTGAAGTCATTTTGGTCTTCAATGTTTCATGGCTTACAGTACACTTGAGACTTAGATTAATTTCATTTTTATATACCCTTTTTGGTTGATATATTTTTGCAATTCATTCAATCAAACCAGACTTTCATGAAGGAAATTGAATTTAAAAATGTACAGTCACAAAAGGTTCAAATTTATCTAAATGGAATAAAATTTAAAATATCTTTGGTAAACTTTTCATTGAATTTACATATCAGGAAAAATGTTCCTCAATTTTCTGCCATTAAGAGAAGAGATCCATGCTCTTTCAAAAGGAACTTTGATGTTCATTACCCTGATTTAAACAGTGCACATTATATTAATATGTTTATCAGACCGGACCCCATTGATGAGTAAAACTGCTATATGTCAATAAAAATAAAGTAATACAATAAAAAATATTGAAAGGAAAAAGAGAAATTATGATCTAATTGTAGTTCATATGCATAAATTTGACCTTGTCTCATAGCCATACCATCAAGACAGAAAAGCTCTCCAAATTCTGTCTTCAAATATGTTCTTTTTTATCCAGTAGAAACAAAACTCTTTTATATGACCAAATGAATGACATATATTTGTAGGCTTTACCCTGCCTTCTAGCCCACCATCCAAAGGTAGGGGTGAAAAGACGGTAAATAGAAAAACAGAATTCAGACCTGTTTAAAAGTAGTTCTTTGGGACAATTCCAATCTCTGTCAGGATACCAGCGCTCCAGTTCAGTAGGGTCAGGATACCATCAGGAATCAGCATCTATGGCATGATACAGCAGAAACTGCCAAGCCTCTGCGGAATTGGCAGAAGTCACAGGGAGCAACCAGAACCAACCAGAATTTCTTGAGAAGTTCTCTGCCATGCCTCCCTCAATGAAGTGAAGACCAGCAAAGGTGTGAGACCAATGAAGCATTGCAAAGCTACCTATGCAAGCATGCTGTCACTGTCCATTGAGTCTGGAAACATTACATGCCCTCCCACAGATCTCACCTCAGCCAAACTCCATGTGAGTCTGCTTCACATGACACTACCAGAAACTTCTATTTCAAATATTTATGAAAATTTCATCATGAAAATTATGATTTAGTATAATGTACTTTTTCACTCCTCTCTACGTTCATTGGCCCTCCCTCATTTCCTTTATCTGAAGCTTCTCAACTGATGCTCATGCTCTTGCTATGACCCCTCAGTTCGTCCTTCAGCTACCATGACTTTATAGTATCTTATGCTGTGTCACTGCAATGGCCTCCACTTAACTAGTGCCTCCTTCCCAATTCTGCATAAACCTGACCACATTTTTCTGTTTCCTGAAACCTTGAATAGCTCTCATTTCAATTACAACATGTATAGATCACATGCCATGACCTACAACTCCCTTGTATTCTGGTCTACATCTCAGAATCATCTCCTTAAACCTCCTTGCTATCTTCTAGCCTTTGCTTGAAATGCTTTCCAGACAGCCTTCCATGGGCCTTCTTTCTCATCAGTCAGTTCTACACCCAGACAAGCCTTTTCGTGGATCATCACTAAGATCCCCTTACTATTCTCCGTATTTTACATAGTTAATCTTGGATGATCATTGTGCCGGCTAGTTTTATGCCAATGTGATAGAAGCTAACGTCATCTGAGAAGAGGGAACCTTAGATAAGAGAACACCTCCAAAACATTAGGCTGCAGGCAAGTCTATAGGGCATTTCCTTAACTAGTGATTGACCAGAGAGGGCATAGCCCACTGGTGGTAACTATCACAGGGCTGGTGATCCTGGGTTCTATAAGAAAGAAGGCTGAGCAAGTCATGGACAGCAAGTCAGTAAGCAATGTTCTTCCGCAGCCTCTGCATCAACTCCTGCCTCTAGATCCCTGCACTGTTTGAGCTTAATGTACTAATTTCCTTTTGATAATGAACAGTGCTGTGGAAGTTCAAGCCAAAGAAAAGCTTTCTCTCCAAGTTGCTTTGGCCATGGTGTTTTGTTGCCGCAATAGAAACCCTAAGTCAACCATGAAAACTTTGAATTTGGGTACACTTGACTCTTCTACTGAATATCTGATGTCTCTGGGGAAACTATTCGTCTCTATTCCTTTTTCTATAGTATGACACAGTAAAAAAATAAACTCATGAATGTGCATTAAAAATTAAATTACCTATACCTACGGATTATAGATAATGCTGAGTAATTCACTATTAGTTGCAGGCATCATACTAAAATATGTGACTTTGAATTCAGCACTGCATATCTATTTCTGTAATGATAAATCAAGGCTGGAGTCTGCCCAGGCGTAGTGGACCACACCTTTAATCCCTTTACTCCAGAGGCAGAGGCCAGTGGATCTCTGTTAGCCCAAGGTCAGTGTGGTCTAAATAGGCTCTAGACCATCCAAGACCCCTACCTCCAAAAGAAGAATAGCAGACTCCGGTACCCAATAGTTGACCCTCAATAAATGTGCGAGCGTATGTTACTTTACCAGTGCCATAGAAATAGAAGTTATTAAACAAACTCATTTTCTAAACCAGGATTTGGATATGTAAGGAGCCTGCAGTCCTAGAAAGGAGACTTGGCAGAAAGCAAACCACAAGGAAAGTGACCCTCAACAATATCTGATCCAGGAAGAATGGAGAGTACTAGCTAGAACAGTTTACCTGAGTCAGAGCCAGAGTGAGGTTTCCTGGTAGTGATTCAGTAATATACTACAGATAGCCAATCTGTATACATATTTTATCACAGATAAATCATCAGTGAATCTTACTAGGCTAAAAACCAGAGTTGAAAAAAGCATATCAAGCCCCTTGCTCTTCCTGAGTTGCTTCCAATAAATAATCTTGTTCCACAGTTTAGTGGACACACACACAAGGATACTGGATGTATTTTTTCATATTATCGTATTCATGTCTGCATGTTGCTCGTTGTGGTTGCAAACCATAAAATGTGTTATAAGATACTGTGTTTGTTTGTTGGCAGCCTTGCTTGCTAGGCTGTGTCATCTGCACACTGTGTCAGAGTACAGATTTAGAAATTTTTATATATAGCCACCGCGTCATCTTTTCACCCACTGATTAGTTTTAATTTCTCAAGTACAACTACGTTTGTTGGAGGATCTTCCCTCAGAGTGTACATAGAGGCAGGTACGTGTCTCATGTATCTAATCCTTCTAAAACACTTAGAATTTAAATAAAACACAAAACGGGGTTATGTAAGAAGCCAAATAGCTGTTGCATAAAGCTTGGAATGTTACCCCAAGCTAGTGTATCCTCAAGAGAAATCAGTCTCTGTGCCTCATAGTAACATTTTTTATGAGCTGAGAAATGTATGGTATTACATTTTAAGTTCTTTTTTATTATAAATTGTTAAAAGATTTATTGCTAAGTCTTGATTTTAGTTTTCATAACTCATCGGTACTTTGTGCACATTACTAATGAAAAGTCTTTATTTATAAAATCAGCTGTATGAATTACTGTATCCAACTTTAGCAAGACTCTCTGTGATTTACTGGACTGAACACCTTTGATATATTTAACAAGTGTGAATTGAGTATTTCTGATTAATGGAGTTCTTAGAGTTAAGGCTGCTTTTTTAATGGAGTTCAATTTAAAATTCATTATTGGCAGTAACCTATGTCCGACTATAATTATATGGATTACTCCCAGGGGTTTCTAAATTCACTGTTTTAAAATAAAAATGGCTGTCAAAAACATAGGATTAAAAATTCAAAAGTCTCTGCCCTCTTCTAGAGTTTGTATCCAGATAGCCATCCTCGTCTTTTTAATACTGTCCTGGCAGCCATGTATCTCATTTTGTTCTTTTGTCATCTGGTATTCCTGGCTTCAGTGTAAGTCAAGGTCACACACTCAGAATTAGCAGAAGTGACTATTAGTTAAGTAGTGAGCCTAGGTAAATGGACTGAGTCCTTAGCTTAGCAGTATGGAGTCTTCTTCCCTCTGACTCATCCAGAACACATGGGTAGCATCCTGGGCAAAGAGCAGAAACTGTTCCAGACACTTAAGAGATATTTCCCAGTAGACTTAGGAAATATTTTATAGGAAATATTTATAAAAATATTATCAGCTGTCATTTTTGCTTTCTTTGTGGTGTGTGTGTGTGTGTGTGTGTGTGTGTGTGTGTGTGTATCTTTTTCAAACTAAAAACTTGCATTGGTTAGGAAAATTTTGTAGATATCTACCACACCAAGTTTAAAATCTTTCTCTAAACTGCTAAGAATGAGTATGTGGGGGAAGAATATTAGTGATTTCTTTTAGAAAAATTGAATTCACCCTAGAGTCACAATAAAAAAATTGTGAAAATGTAATAAAGAGGTTAAAGATGGCAAGTTTTAAATAAGTGACTTTCCAGCATATATTTTCTTTCTTTGTTTTTTTATTTTCTTTCTCCTTAATAATTAGCTTAGTCTTCCAAATGATATCTTATTTGATATAAAGATAGCTATAACCATACCATCAGTTAATCATAGTATATATTTCAAAAAGTTTACTTAACTAGCAAAGTAAAACACAAACAAATTCTTAATTTTTCAGGATGTCAAACCCAGAACAGTACGGCATGGACTTCTACCAATCTAATTATATCATTGATAATCAGGAACAGAGTTATGATTCTAATGCTTATGGAGATGTTTATGGATCCAGAGAGTAAGTATTGAATAGGCTTGCTCTCATTTTTAAAAGTGCCAATGTTCTGTCAGTTAATTCCCAGTAGGTAGATTTTCTTGAGGGAAGACAAAGTTAATTGAGCACTAGCCAATGAAGTTTCCCTAGTAAATGACAAGAAAGGACAGAGAGAAATTACCCCAGTTTTCTGTGAATAGCTTTTCACTTGGTGCTTATGACAAGTTAATGTTTCATTTATTATTTTAAAAATAATGCTTAAGCAAGAGCCTTTTGCCCTATGCTTATCCAGATGCTGAAAATAGATTTTATCTATTTAAAAGCACTTATTTTGTCTAATTTCTCTCAAAAACTAAGACCACAACAAAACCAAGATAGGGATGAAATTCAAGATTTTTTATAATGTCCTTTTAATTTTTTTAAAATGAGAATTTTCTACATGTGTATTGTAGAAAATCTACATGTGTACTGCCAGTCCCCAACTGTGACCAAACTCACAACCCCTTAAACTCACACACACACACACACACACACACACACACCCCACATTGCTCATCCTTGTGCAGATGCATCTGCTGGTCAACTTAGTTTTGCTGTTTCATGTATATGTGTTTAATACTGGCCATATGAGAGATAATTTAGCAGTGGCCTCTTCCCTGCAGAATACCAAGTATCTCTTTCAGCAACCACTGGTCACTGGTACTTCTTCATCTAGGGATGGGGCCTTTTCTCTATCCATGATGGCATGCCAACTGATGTTGTCATTATGATCTTGTTTAGACAACAATATTGCTGAAATTTCATGGGTTCTCTTTCTGTCATATATAGAAAGCACAGTCTTGCAGAAGATGTCCTCTGACTCTTACAATCTTTCTGCCCACCTTTTCTGAAATGGTCTTTTAGCATTAGGTATTGGGGTTGAATTGTTGGTGTATCAGGTGGAGTTGGGCATCCCACAGTCAGTTATATACATTTTTGACCAGATATAGATTTCTATAATGGTCTTGTCTGCTGCACAAAGGAGTATCTTTTTTATTGGGATCTGCTTTTCTTTTTATTTTATTTATTTTTAAATATTATTTTATTTTTTACTTTATATCCCACTCACTGTACCCCTCGTGGTCACCCCCTCCCCCAAAACTTTCCCAGTCCTCCCTCCCCTTCTCCTCTGAGTGGGCGTGGGCCCTCTGGGAATTTCCCCCATCCAGGCACATCAAATCTCAGTGAGGCTAGGTACTTCCTCTTTCACTGAGGTCAGACAAGGCATCCCAGCTAGAAGAATATATTCCATGTACAGGCAACAGCTTTTGGAATAGCCATTGCTCCATGTGTTCAGGACACACATGAAGAGCAAGCTGCACATCTGTTACATATGTGTGGGAGGCCTAAGTCCAGCTGGTGTATGCTCTATGGTTGGTGGTTCAGACTCTGAGAGCCCCAAGGATCCAGGTTAGTTTGTTGGTCTTTCTTTGGAGTTTCTATCCCCTTCGGGCTAGCAATCCTTCATCATACTATTCCATAAGAGTACTCAAGCTCCACTCCTTGTTTGGCTGTGCGTTATCTGTGTCTGTCTGAGTCAGCTGCTGGGTGGAGCTTCTCAGAGGACAGTCATGTTAGGCTCCTAACATACAAGCACAACAGAGTATCATTAATAGTGTCAAGGATTGGTGCTTGCCTATGAGAGGCCTTACATTGGGCTGGTCATTGGTCGGTCATTCCCTCAGTCTCTGCTTCATCCCCTGTGCCTGCATTTCTTGTAGACAGGATAAATTTTGGGTTGAAAGTACAAAGTCTTTAATCTTTAATAGGGGTGAGAACTGCATTTATTAAAAGGTTTAAGGATAAGTTTTCAAGATTAAGCTAGTAAATATTTTCCATTAGAGTTAAGATTTTATTTGGAGGAGTTATATAATAAAATATGAAATATTAATATGTGAGTATTATGAAAAGTGCTGTGACAGTGTAGACATAAACATTTTCTGAGATATATTATGTACTTGAGGTAAATTTAACTTGAAGTTCTGGGGAGATGGCTCAGTTGGTAAAATGCTTTCCACAAAATCATGAAGATTCATGTTAAGATCTTCAGAACCCATGTGGAAAGCTGGATGACGCGATATGCATCTGTAATACAACAAAGGAGGAGATGGTGACTGGAAATTCTCTGAGGCTCTGTGGCTAGTCACTTTAGACAAATCAACAAGCTCCAGATCAGTGAGAGACTCCCCATCTTGAAAACACGAAGCAGACCTCTTGTGGAAGACAGTCAACATTGACCTGTGGATACATATACATATGTACACACACATACACCCCCAACCCCTTGCCTCCAACCCCCTGCACACATGTAAGAGAAAGATAGGGGTATTGTTAATGTGAACTTTAAAAAATAGGACAATGAAGAATTTAATATTTGCTTTTATTGGTGGGAAAAAGAAAAGAAAAGAAAGAAAGCTCTGCTATCAGAAGAAAATTTGTTCTGGCATTGATTTCATCTTTGACACTGAGAAGACTTAACTTCATTTCCTTTAGTTGAGACATGTACTTTGTGGAATTTTCATAAAGAACAATTGCTGATTGATAAAGTATATGAATGTGAGATAATGATTGAACTGTTAGATTAAATATAACGTTCAAAAGCACTCTGCTATCTTAATGGTTTTGGTTGCTCAGTCACTTTTCTGAATGTCGTTTTGTGGGTCTAGGTTAGTGAACTGGAATAAGGATCGTGTCTCTCAACTGTCGTGACAATAGCCGTTTACCAAACCTCTATGTGTGTGATGAACTGCCCTGAGCTTTATTTTTAACAGGAACTTTTATTTGTCTAATATAATTGTCATCTCAGGCTTACTGCTGTATAAGCTCACCCTTTCTAGTTCTTTCTGAACTCTGGCTGTCTGATTCAACTCAGTTGATCTGGCCCGAACACCTCCCTATGCTGACTGATTCAAAGAGGTTTCTCTTAGCTTCTGACTGAATTGTTCTGCCAGATTTCATACTAACTTTGCCAATCAGTTCTAATCTTCTGTCCATGTCTCATTATCTGGCTCATTCTGTCTTCTCTTGTGTCTAGCTTGTTCTCTCTGCAACCTGTCTCTGTTAAACTGCCATACACACACATCACACACTACCTCACCATCACCCAACCCTTCTCTCCCTGTGTTGCTGTTAAGTAGCCTCTTTCCTGTGCTGTTCTCTTGAGAATTGGCCATATCCTGTCACTAACTCATTCTGTTAAACCTTTCTCTTGTCACTTTGTCTGCCCCTTAATTAGACATCACTTTCAAACATGGCCTCTTCCTTCTACAAACTAAACCTTATCTTCATGGATAGGGGTTAAAGGTGTGTAGTAAGGACATCTATATTCCAGCCAGAGAGATTAAAGGTGTGTCATTCCAGCAAGATCCCCAAGACCTAGAAGGTCTTTGGACGTGATCCCTTGACAGAGCAGCCATATTGATGGGTTAACATTTCTTTCTTTCTTTCTTTCTTTCTTTCTTTCTTTCTTTCTTTCTTTCTTTCTCTCTCTCTCTCTCTCTCTTTCTTTCTTTTTTATTTTTATTAGATATTTTATTTACATTTCAGATGTCATCCCCTTACCCCATCCCCCACCCAGAAACCCCATATCTCGTCCCCCCTCCTCCTGTTTCTATGAGGATATGCTCCTACCCACACACTCCCACCTCCCCACCCTTGAATTTCCCCACACTGGGGCATCCAGCCTTCACGGGACCAAGGACTTCCTCTCCCACCTATCCCCAGCAAGACCCTTCTCCCCTACATATATAGCTGGAGTCATGGGTCCCACCCTATGTGCTCCCAGGCTGGTGGTTTAGACCCTGGGAGCTTTGGTTGGCTCTCCCCATGGGGCCACAAACCCTGTCAGCCCCTTCAGTCTTCTCTAACTCCTCCACTGGGAACCCTATGATCAGTTCAATGGTTAGCTGTGAGCATCTGCCTCTGCATATGTCTGGTTCTGGCAGACCTCTAAGGAGACAGCTATATTAGGCTCCTGTTATCATGCACTTCCTGGCATCCACATCAGTGTCTACCTTTGGTGACTGCACATGGGATGAATACCCAGGTGGAGCAGTCTCCAGGTGGCTCCTCCTTCAGTTTCTGTCCCATGTTTTGTCTCCATATTTGCTCCCACGTGTACTTTGTTACTCCTAAGAAGGATCTTAGCACCCACACATTGGTCTTCCTTATTAATGAGCTTCATGTGATCTGTGAGTTGTATCTTGTGTATTTGGAGCTTTCGGGCTAATATCCAATTATCAATGAGTGCAAACCATGTGTATTCTTTTGTGATTGGGTTACCTCACTCAGAATGATATTTTCAAGTTCCATCCATTTGCCTAAGGATTTCTTGAATTCATTGTTTTTAATACCTGAGTAATACTCCATTGTGTAAATGTACTACATAGCTTCGTGCTATTGTAAATAAGGCTGCTATGAACATGGTGGAGCATATGTCCTTGTTATATGTTGGATCATCTTCTGGGTATGTACCCAGGAGTGATATAGCTGGGTCCTCAGGTAATGCTATGTCTAATTTTCTGAGGAACCCCTAGACTGATTTCCAGAATGGTTGTATCAGCATTCAATCCCACCAACAATGGAAGAGTGTTCCTCTTTCTCCACATCCTTACCAGCATCTGCTATCATCTGAGTTTTCGATCTTAGCCATTCTGACTGGTGTGAGGTGGAATCTCAGGGTTTTGATTTGAATTTCCCTGATGACTAAGGATGTCAAACATTTTTTAGGTGCTTCTTGGCCATTTGAATTTCCTCAACATTCAGAAATCCATCAATGTAATACACTATATAAACAAACCCAAAGGAAAAAAAACACATGATCATATCACTAGATGCTGAGAAAGCATTTGATCAAATTCAACATCCCTTCATGGTAAAAGTCTTGGGAAGATCAGTAATTAAAGTCTATACTTAAACATAGTAAAAGCAACATACAGCAAGCCAGTAGCCAACATCAAACTAAATGGAGAGAAATTTGAAGCAATCTTACTAAAATCAGGGACTAGATGAGGCTACCCACTCTCCCCCTACCTATTCAATCTAGTACTGGAAGTCCTAGCCAGGGAAATTAGACAACAAAAGGAGGTCACAGGGATACAGATAGGAAAGGAAGAAGTCAAAATTTCACTATTTGCAGATGATATGATAGTATACTTAAGTGACCCCAAAACTTCCACCAGAGAACTCCTAAACCTGATAAACAACTTTAGCAAAGTGGCTGGTTATCAACTCAAACAAATCAGTAGTCTTCCTCTAATAGAAGGACAAACAGACTGAAGAATTAGGGAAGTGACACCCTTCACAATAGTCACAAATAATATAAAATACCTTGGTGTGAATCTAACCAAGCAAGTGAAAGACCTGTATGACAAGAACTTCAAGTCTCTGAAGAAAGAAATTGAAGCAGATCTCAGAAGATGTAAAGATCTCCCATGCTCATGAATTGGCAGAATTAATATGGTAAAAATGGCCATCTTGCCAAAAGCAATCTACAGATTCAATGCAATTCCCATCAAAATTTCGACTCAATTCTACATAGAGATAGAAAGCAATTTGCAAATTCATTTGGAATAACAAAAAACCCAAGATAGTGAGAACTATTCTCAACAATAAAAGAACTTCTTGGGGAATCACCATCCCTGACCTCAAGCTGTAATACAGAGCAATAGTGATAAAAACTGCATGGTATTGGTACAGAGACAGGCAGGAAGATCAATGGAATAGAATTGAAGACCCAGAAATGAACCCACACACCTATGGTCACTTGATCTTTGGCAAAGGAGCTAAAACTGTCCAGTGGAAAAAGGACAGCATTTTCAACAAAGGGTGCTGGTTCAACTGTAGGTCAGCATGTAGAAGAATGCAAATAGATACATTTTTATCTTCTTGTGCAAAGACCAAGTCCAAGGGGATAAAGGACCTTCACATAAAACCAGGTACACTGAAACTATTAGAGGAGAAGGTGGGGAAGACCCTTGAATACCTAGACACAGGAGAAAAGTTCCTGAACAGAATACCAATGGCTTATGCTCTAAGATCAAGGATTGACAAATGAAACCCCATGAAATTGCAAAGCTTCTGTAAGGCAAAGGACACTGTCAATAGGACAAAATGGAAACCAACAGACTGGGAAAAGATCTTTACCAATCCTACATCCGATAGAGGGCTAATATCCAATATATACAACAAACTCAAGAAATTAGACTCCAGACAAGCAAATAACCCTATTAAAAATGGGGTATAGAGCTAAACAAAGAATTCTCTACTGGCTTAACATTTCTCTGCATTTATTGAGTATGTCACTGGAACCCTGAGCAAACCTATGAGTTAGCTACTATTCTTGAGAAGCCAGCCACAGATAAATTAATATTATTTTCAAAGTTACTAATGAGTTTTTTCTTGTTGTTGTGACAAAATGTCACAAAAGCAAATTAAGTCAGGAAAGGTTTGTTTTATTGTATTGTGTTTTGACTCATGGTTTGAAGTTATGGTCCATCATGAAGGGTAACGGCAAGTCATAGAGCAGTAATTTGAGATCACTGGTCACATTATGCCCACAGTCAGGAAATAAAATCAGAGAAATGAATCCTGCATCCTTTTTGCTAAGGTTAGGGTGACCCAGCTCACAGAAAGCTGTAGCCGTAAGTGTGTGGGTGTATGTTTCTACCTCAATCAATTCAATCTATAAACCTCTCCCTCACACATCGTTTCTTCATTGATTCTAAATCCAATAAAATTGACAGTACACATTAACCATCACAATCAATTAGTAAGAAACAGGCTTAAGTTTTGGGTCTAAGGTTGCTTGATTGGTTTTATGTGAGTGTGAACAAATATACTATAAAACAAAGAACATAAAATAGATTCTTTTAATAGTAATGTTTGAATAACAGTGAACTGGATCATCTTAGTTATTATATGACTATATCATATGTTGACTATATCATCCCAACAGATCTAGGCCAATAACCTCATAACAAATTACTTCAGATATATTCATTATTGAAAGCTTGCTTCAAATGTAGACAAATCACCTTAAAAGCCACCGAAGGGAAGAGGAAAAACAGAAAAAATATAATGGAGTAAGTATAAGATCATCCTACATACATAAGCAGACAGTTCCACGTTCCTTACTGAGTGAGATTCTAAATGAAAAGGAAAGGTACTGTTGTGTAATGTTTCTACACCTTTAAATGGCGAGTGTATGAAAGCTTATTCAACTGCACCATTTGAGATATATACTTTGAGAGACAAAGAAAAAGAGTGCTTGAGGTTGAACAAGTATGTTGAGAACTAGTCTATTTCAGGATGGTCAGTGTAATGATCCAAAATGAGAAAATGTGATGGGTGAAGACCTCCACTCAGGGGAGACCCTCACTCAAGTCTCGGGATGACACGACCATCCGCAAACTCGCAAGGCACCGAATCTGGATGCAATCAGCAGAGGTTTAATCAGGATATAAACAGCTAGCTGCTGGTCAATTCGTCTGCTCACGCAGGAGCTGAATTGACAAAGACAGCTGGTCTGAGAAGGGTTTTTAAAGGGGAAAACCACAAACCAGGGTGGGGAGGGGGCAAGGGGGTTGCTAAGGAGACATAGTGGAAAATTCCAGAGGAACCCAACTTACGTGAGTCAAGGTCAAGTGAAAAACACTCTGTATACATATTCTTCTCAAAAATGTGGTCCTGCCCTGTCATTGCGGCCTTGCCCAAAACTGTGGTCACCAGCTTCCTGGTTCCACCTAGCTGACTTGCATTCTTTTCTTCACTTTTTGTGGTTAGCTAGTTCCCATAACTAGCCTGTCCACATTCTTAGCTTGCTTCAGAGAGAATTTTTTATGCCCTTTTAAAGAAAATACCTAAGGAAGAGTCTATAGATCATTTTATAAAATGATCTTCATAATTTTTCACTCTACATGGGCTTTTCATGTCAAGTAACTTGTTTTATAGAAAGAAGCACATTGCCTTGAAGTGCCTGTTCCTTTTATCCATGGCCTTTTTCAAACAGCATTTCTACTTGAGTAAAACCTATACTTTTGACTAAAATAAAGTCTAGTGTGAAGAAGCTAAAGATTTATTCTTAAGCCAGGACTTCTAGAAAGATCACAACGTTCTCTCCCATTCTGCCCAAACCAGCCCTTTTATTCTATTTAATTACTCATTCCACCACTTATCAGAAATCAGAATACAAAGTGACAGACATTAACCCTAATTATGCTGTATCAGTGCTGCTGAACTTGGGCTAAATACAAGCCCTGGTTCCAGCCCACACTGACCAATGAATAATATCTCACATGACTTGAATAGTTATAGTAATCAGTATGTGTGTTGTGGGGATTCAAAGTTATTAGACCACATCCCTCCCCTTAATGAGACAGTACTGGTTTAATGAATGATGACTTGACTCAGTCTTTTCTCTATCTCTATAGTTGTATTTGCCAAGATAGGTAGTTTTGTTGCTAAAGGTCAAGTTCATAAAAAAGAATTGAATATGATTTTGTTGGAATTTGTGTCGATTAATCATAAAAGAAAATCATCAAAAATTATTATGTAAAATATTCTTGTATAAAAAGTTCATAATCTTGAATTCTATCTTAGGCTACTGGCATTTTATAAAAACAAAGGAAAAGAAAGGATGAAAACAACCTTAAATACGTGATAGACAGTTATTGATTTTCTTTCCTTTACTGAAAAAAGAATATATATATATATATATATATATATATATATATACATATATATATATATATATATATATATTCATATACAAGTACAAGTAATTTTCAAGTTTCTCTTGCATATGATAAAACAAGAAAAAACATTCATGGAAATTTAAAAGCATCATGTTTTGGGAGAGGCAAATTGCTAACTGTAAAAAAATAAAGAGTTTTGGATGTGAGTTCCTCATATACTGTTCAAGGAATTCTAGGTATTCATGGATAATTTGATGCACAGTAATTTTCTGAGAATAGTCAGTAGTAAAGAATACATTTCTCTATGAACAAAACTGAGTTTATAGATTTTTGTTTCATTTGGGTTGATCATACTACTAAGTAATAATTTTTATGAGCCTCTCTGCAGGTTTTTAAAGAAACTTCAATATTGTTATTTCCTCATGAAGAGCAGAGAGGAAGCTTTTTCTATGTAGGGAGCAGAGCACCGCTCATAAAACTTCAATCTGGAAATCCAAGTAGGGTGCTGTGTAGGTCATTTACTTTCCAAACTCTTATTTTTCTGTAAAAGATGGTATTTAAAATACAGTTTTGACCATATAGAGTTTTAAATGAGAAAAGGGACAGTGTCCAGTATATTTCAAATGCTCAATTAAAACAGTTACTATAGCTCATTATTATAGAAGCTTTTTCATAACCCCTTCAAATTTTTGAGTTAAAATTAACTTTTAAGTAGGTTCATCATTGCCTTGGTAACTATCTTTTAACATTAGGTGAATTCATTAGAAGGAAATTGTACTTTCATTTGTTAATTTAAAAGGATATTACTTTCTTGTATTTGAAAATACAAACGTTTTTATTTTTCTAGACCTCAAGCCACTGAGCAACCTCAGTCTTCCTCTCCAATTCCACCAGAGATGTTCTTGCCATCAGAATATAGAGGACAGCTTTTTCAGCCAGCATCCAACTTGGAATACTACTCACAGTCTTCCTCAGTTGACAGTTTTGATGAAGAGCCTCCTTTGTTAGAGGGTAAGTGAAGGAAACATGGTTCTTTTTATTTACTTTTTAAATTTTTTATTGGATATCTTATTTATTTACATTTTAGATGACATCTCCTTTCCCCATTTCCCCTCCCTAGAAACCCCCTATCCCATCCCCCTTCCTCCTTTTTGCTTTTATACCATTTTATTTACCTGCAAGTATTAAGGTCAGTTCTAGGTTGAGGAACTAGCAATACAATAGATGCAAATAGTCAAGGAACAAGCAAGACAATAATCACAAATAGTCAAAGGACAAGCAAGGCAATAAACCAAATTCCTTGAACACTCCCGTGATCACTGTTTCTAAGGGCTTATCAGGATGACCAAAGTATCTGAGCCTACTTCCCTGTCCTAGCCCAAAGTCATTTTCATGTCTGAAGCCTATTTCCTTGTTCTAGCCTAAAATTTAGATTCCTCCCTGAAATTAATTCTTTGTTCTAGCCTAATGTCAGATTCCTGCCTGAAGCCTACTTCTTTGTCCTTGGCCAATGTCATATTCCTGTCAAGCAGGCCATTTCCTTGTCCATGCCCCATGTCAGACTCTTGTCAAGCAGCCAAAAAGCTCCCCACTTCTCCCCCTTTTTTATTTCATAAACAAGACTGAGCCTGTTTTAGGTTGTTCTGACAAGAATGCCTTCCTTACCTTTGTGGAATATGCATTATCAAAAGCAATCATTATAATTAGGAAAAAGTTTAAAGACACTTGCAGTGTATTTGGCAGAATTCTAACACCTCTCCAGATGTTTTAGCTTTGCATAGTGAGCTTATGAATTTAAAGAATGCTGCTCTGCTGAGCATTGATGTGGCCGATACTGCTGATAAAATTACCTGAGGTCACCTTTTCTATTTTAGCCAAACTTTAAGAATGGCATATATAGCTAGATCATGCTAGCCCTTTTTGTTCTGGGAATACTTTTATTCCTGCCCATTGTGTTAAAGCTTGACTTTAACAACATCAACATGTTGGCAGCCAAAGTACATGGCTTGAAACTAAATAGACACCCAGACAGAGTTATTAAATTAACAGGCTGACAAGCCAAAGACGGGTAAGATTCTGCACAGAGCCTTACCAACCTAAGGAAAGGTTGTTCTTAATGTGTGTACAGCTTTAAGAACCACAGCAATGAACCCGTTCTGCCACAGTGCTCCATACTGGGCTTTGTGTGTAACTAATGCACAGTTAACAAGAGTCAGGCAAGCCAACACACATAAACCTAAACCATTGTAAGCTTATTGCATTTAGGGGGGCAAGTTTCCAAGCTTACTTGTTCTGTTGCTGTGAAACTGTTACAATTATTCAAAGCTTGTTCACTGTTCCTTAGATTTCTCAGATTTCTTAGACTCTGGCAGTGCATAAACAGGAAAGACATGTTAAGGAAATGGGATTATATCAGACTAACAACATTTCTTAATCATCTAATGGTGCCCTTTGTAACAGCATTATTTTATTATTTGCTATTTGTCTGGGAGCAAAGGAGATAGTTTCTCAAATTAATATTTCTTTGTGGCCGACTTGGAGGCAAGCCAAATTCTTTGTCTTCTCTGGCTCTCATGAGCTCTCTGTCTCTCTGTCAGTCTGTCTGTCTCTTGGTAAGACTAGATGCAGAATGTAGTCCCAGTACTTAACAATATTCTTAGGAAGGAAATGCAAGACTTTTGGAGATGAAGGTCCAGATAGATTTCAGGCACATTTCTTTATTATTTCTATTCATATGCACACATATTATGTCTGCATTAAAAGTTTCTTGATGGAAGTAACAACTCTAGAAACTTATCCTGAAGTTATCCCGGATTGACATTAGAGAGCTAAGCTCCCCCAAATCCTACATGGACTCTAAGTGGAGTCAAGTGAAAAAGATGATAATTACCAATATTTTTCATAAAAGTAGTTTTTAACCTCATTTGAATTCAACAACATCCTGGAGTTAACACAGTCTTCTTTGAAAATAATGGAGAG